TAACCAAATTGTACCGCACAGTACATATGCTATTGGTGATAATACCTTTGAGTTATGTAAAGTTTGCCCATCTTTTTCATACTATTGCTAATTGTCTGGTTATGTGATAAGATACATGCATGACTAATAATTCTTTGAAATGAAAGCAACTCTCTTGACTTTTACTTGCAAGTTGCAACAAGTTAATTAATAATTCTTTCAAATACATGAGTAGTGGTGTTAGAGGCTCAAGTTTTCAAGAAAAGTATAGTTTGAAAGCAACCACGATAATGCATCGGCAAATGCATCATTTTGTTTGCACTTATAAATATTAATTTAAAAAAAATATTTTACAAATTAAATTGTATATTAAAAATATAATTTATTTTAGAAATTTATTAAAATATTTTTAAAAATATTATAAGAAATATTTTATTTTAGTAAAAATATTTTAATAAATTTATAATATAAATTACATTTTTAATATATAATTTAGATTATATTATATGAATCACATATTAATTAGTCATCTTATATTTTTTTCTTATTCTATTTTATTTTTGAATTGGAGCAAGTACATGGGTTCCAATCTATAAGTCCCAAGCACTATAGTTTAGGTGGTTATTAGGCCGGTCCGAGAAACATGAGAAAGTGTGCCTTCCTTTCTTTCTTTCTTTCTTTCTTTCTTTCTTTCTTTTTTTAACATATTGCAAATATTTACAGATTAATTGAGAGGTGAAGGGAAAGGATTTTTCTTGAGCTTGAACATGTAATCCACAGAAGATAAATAATTTTAATTCAGAATTCAATACCACTAAATCGAAACGAACAATTCAAAAGTGTATCTTCCTTTCATTTCATGAAATATAAACAAACCACATTTCTTCCTCATTCATCATCTTATCAATCACTTGCCTATTTCAAAAGATACCTAAACGTCATGAGTTGGGGAAAAATAAGGAAAAGAATGGTTCAACGTATATAGATCATAGAAATAAAAATAGAATTACTTGTTTTATAGTTTGGAGAATTATATAAAATTGCAAACTAAGGATTATTAAATGAGAAAAAATAATTTTAATAATAAAAAAAATCCATCATATTTAATGATATAAATTAAATAAATATTGTATAATATTTTATCCATCATATTTTATCATTTGTATTGTATAATATTTTTTTAATAAATATTTATACATAATTATAGAACTTGAAAGTTTAGGTATTATAAAATAATATTTTACATCAATTGCCATGGTGATGGTTGGTAACCGTACGTATGAAGTTTGCATCCATCCCAAACCGGTTGAAACCCGTTACGAGCATATGATCTATTTATGGTATAATCAAACTTCTGTGATTAGTAGAAAACTGTAATCTTCTTAAAAATACCTGTGTCTACCATGATGACATATTTTTACCGTCACAGAGTATTTTAAATCAATTAGAATGTATTTTTAGATTAAATTTTTTTAAGACAATTTTAAAAATATTCATTTATGTTAATTTTGTACACTTAAAAAAAATTAAAATTTTTAAATATTGACTCTC